CCTTCCGATCTCTTTTCCCTTCCAGCGCGCCATCTTCCAACCTCCTGCCGGGGTCAGATACCCCTGCTGCATTCCCCGCCGATCCACCATAACCCGCACCCTGCAACACATCAGAAAAAAAGTGTTTTTCGATAGGTGTATTGCAATATTTATGACAAAAGTATTGCCACTTTCATATGTTTTCAAAAACAGCCCAGTTTGTGTTTTTAAATCTCCCTCTCTTTTCTCTTTTGTTTTGTAACTTTGTGTAGAACAGTGTGTCGCGCAAGGCGAGCTTGGATATTGCTTACCGGGGCTTGCATTCTGCGGCCCGAATAAAAGATATCGGCTTTGCCCGCCTCGCCCTTTTGCTCCTTGCGGGGCTTGTGCTGCTGGCGGCTTATATATAGCAGCATAGGCGAGCCGGACAGCGGCGGCAACAGCAGCAGCAGCAGCAGCAGCAGCAGCAGCAGCGGCAGTAGCAGCAGCAGGAGCACCCAGCACCAGCACCCTCGCTCCGGCTGCAAGGGGCAGGTGTGTGGAGGAGAGGGTGCTGGGACCCCCTGCCTGCCTGCCTGCGGCCCCCTGAGCGGGGCGTGAGTGAGTTGTTAACAAAGCCACACCACGCCCCGCCACGCCCCGCCACGCCACGCCACGCCGCCGGTCGCCGGCGCTGGCGGCAACGGAGCTGCTGGCGAGCCAACCAGTGCTGCCAACTTGCTAAATGCCCGGCGAGGCCGCGCTGGCGGTGGTGGTGGTGGTGGTTGCGCCCCCGCGCCCGGGCGCAGGCTGCCGCACGGCCGCCCTTGAGAGATGTGCCGGCGTGCGGTTGGTAGCACTGCTGCTGCTGCTGCTGCCGCTGCCGCCGCTGCTGCCGCTGCTGCTGGTCGGGGCCCTGCTCCCCGCCGCCCTCCCGCCCCCGCCGAGGCTCAAGTTGCTCAAATTGCCATATATCTCGGGTGCCATAACGGCGGCAGCGGCAGCGGCAGCGGCAGCGCTACCACCGCACCGGGCCCTGGCGGGTCCCCGGCTAATTGTGGACGGAGAAAAGAGCGCGGTGCTCTGTCCTTGTCACTCGGCACCACCGCCGCCGCGGGAGGCCGCTGCCGCAGGCGTGAATCAGAGAGAGAGAGAGAGAGAGAGAGAGAGAGTGATAGAGCGAGGGAGAGAGAGTGTGAGAATGAGATAGAGATAGGCCGAGGGAATGAAGGGAAGAGAGAGACAGTGAGAGGGAAGAGAAAGAGAGTGAGGAGTGAGGGAAGAGAGGGAGTGAGAGCGAGTGAGTGATAGAGAGTGCGTGGGAGAGAGAGATTGTGAGTGAGATAGGGATAGGCCGAGGGAGGGAAGGGGAGAGTGAGAGAGAGAGTGCGAGAGAGGGCGGTGGCAGAGAGGCAGGCACGGACAGACAGATTACGGCGCCAGACCAGAGAGCGGTTTTAGCGGTGGCTCACGCGCGTAGGTATTGCCGGCGAGCTTGGTTATTGCAGGCCGTCCGGTCGTTGATCTCGCCGTGGTGATCCGGTGGTGGGCGGGGTGCGGCCGGCGGGCGCGCTCACCGCTCACCACCGTTGGTGATCCCCTGACCACTGATTGCAATCCCAGACACACACACACACACACACACACTGTTCAACGACGTGTGTCCTGCTTGCTTGGCTCGCTCGGGCCCCTCGGGCCGGCCGGTCAAGTCGGTTGGGGCCCGCCAGAGGCGCGGTGCTATGGCGGTGAAGGTGGTGGTGGTGGTGGGGGGGG